CAGTAGAAACATGAGGACAGACAGTAGAAACATGGGGACAGACAGTAGAAACATAAGGACAGCCAGTAGAAACATGGGGACAGACAGTAGAAACATGAGGACAGCCAGAGGAAACATGGGGACAGACAGTAGAAACATGGGGACAGACAGAGGAAACATGGGGACAGCCAGTAGAAACATGAGGACAGTCAGTAGAAGCATGAGGACAGACAGTCGAAACATGAGGACAGTCAGTAGAAGCATAAGGACAGCCAGTAGAAGCATGGGGACAGTCAGTAGAAACATGAGGACAGTCAGTAGAAACATGGGGACAGCCAGTAGAAGCATGAGGACAGACAGTAGAAACATGGGGACAGACAGTAGAAACATGGGGACAGACAGCAGAAGCATGAGGATAGTCAGTAGAAACATGAGGACAGACAGTAGAAACATGGGGACAGCCAGTAGAAGCATGAGGACAGTCAGTAGAAACATGGGGACAGACAGTAGAAACATGAGGACAGACAGTAGAAACATGAGGACAGACAGTAGAAACATAAGGACAGCCAGTAGAAACATGGGGACAGCCAGTAGAAACATGACAACAGTCAGTAGAAACATGGGGACAGACAGAGGAAACATGGGGACAGTCAGTACAAACATGGGGACAGCCAGTAGAAACATGACAACAGTCAGTAGAAACATGAGAACAGCCAGTAGAAACATGACATCAGTCAGTAGAAACATGGGGACAGACAGGGGAAACGTGGGGACAGTCAGTAGAAACATGAGGACAGTCAGTAGAAAACAATAGAAACAATGAGAAACCAAAAGTCAGTAAACTGAAATCAGAAGACAGTCAATAGAAACCAAAAGACAGTTAGTAGAAAACGACAGCCAGAAGAAATCAGTGGACAACCAGTAGAAACCAGAAGCCAGTCAGAAGAAACCAGAAGACAGTAAAATGAAATCAGAAGACAGTCAATAGAAACCAAAAGACAGTTAGTGGAAAACGAAAGCCAAAGGAAACCAGTGGACAACCAGTAGAAACCAGTGGACAGTCAATAGAAACCAAAAGACAGTCAGAAGAAACCAGAAGACAGTAAATTGAAAATAACAGTAGAAACCAGTGGA